ATGGATATAATCTCTGGATAAAACTAAGTCGCTTTTATCTTGAGTGATTAATGAAATGCCTTTACGCCGAAGTCCGCTGTCAGGTGAATCGTGGAAGGAGTATCAAACTACACAGCACAGGTGGTAATACCTTCATTACATGAGGCATCGTTTATATCTCAACACAATAGTTGATGGGCCTTATATTCACGCGTTCTCTGGTTTTACTTCTCCTGACAATTGATTTGTTTTTATAGGGAATCCAAAAATAGGGCACCAAATTTATGAAGTAGTGCGTGTGTGTCTATATGTGTGCTTAAATATCTTAATAATCAAGTTTGGTGATGCGATTTTCACATTCATTTGAAGTAAAATAAAGATGTACTTCACATTTCTGTTCTATTGGTTGATCTGTGTCATCGTCGCTTTGTCTACACGGAAACTTAATTTTTACTAGAATTTTTATGTCGACTTGGACAACTTATAACAATTGAGTTTAATCAGTACAAAAGCATATTGCTTGAGTTGAGCTTTAAAATGCTAACCTTTTCTCGAGTCCTCCTTAAGGTGAAATAAGTCACTCATATCATTTGTTACGTAAAATGAACAAGAGGAATTACTCGTCATTTTTGTGAAAGAGGATACTTCTTCCTGTGTCCTTAATAGATAGGTAGGGTTCAGAATGATAGAAAAACACACCTTTCACTCTCCCACTGATTTTCGATCACTCGAATGTTTTGTAAAAGCGTTAACCAAGGAGCGTCTTGAAAAGGAGACTGCACTTTTTCCATTTGGCTGATATGGCTAAGCAAATAAATGGAGGCTGTCTTCTGTCGGAAGTTAAACAGACTGACTGATTGAGAAACAAATCTCACCGTTGCCATTAAACCAGCGTAGTCTTAATTTGTCTGTTTTATGATTTTACAGCCATATACATGCAGCATGAGAAAGGATATATTCATAAACTTCTAACTTTTAAAATGGACAAGCGGTCGTAGAGGGAGTGCTGGCAGCAATCTCTTGAGCATTGGCGAGATATTCCATTCACTGTGAGGGCACTACTTCCTGGTCTTATGCCCAACCCTACCACAGTGCTTAGACCCATCCAGCCTTTTAAACTACAGAAAATAACTTTGGCTATCCATCCTTTAATTAGTTTACACGTAGTTCCAATTGACCAATTGCAAATCATTCGTAACTTCTGCAATTACTCCTGCAACCAATCCTGCCTATGGCTTCACTTGTTGCATTACTTTCGTCGAGGAGCTTGATAGGTCTCCTACAAATATAATACCTAATTTTTCGAAAACGGAAAACTCTTCAGTCGTAGTGGTTGGCTATACGAACAAGGATAACTCAATGTTGAAAATTACAACCCAAGGGAATGTGCGGGAAGTCTAGCCTATGACACGCCTGTTCAACTTGTCATTGACGAGCGTGCCGGCAGAATAAAACTACCGTGGCATTCTAAAGTTTACTGGAATGACGAACACACCAAATACCTCTTGTGTTAGCATTATTCACTGTGACAAATCAGTACATTCAACCGATAAAATACCACGGAATATTAAGTGCTTACGTGCCTGAAAAGTACTTTCTAGCAATTGGACTATCAGAAAATGACGAACTTTTCATTTCCCGTGTTGTCTACTGCCACTGTTGCGAAGCGAAAATTAGTAGAGCCTGTCTGTTATCAAAATCTCAAGGTGTCAAATATTGGCCCAGGGCAAATTGGGGATTACATCAATAAGGTAAGGTGAATATATGGTGAAAATATCATACCTTCCAATCTGCTGGTTGTTTCCATCATTTGGGTGGCTAAAATTCAAAATAAATTTGTCAAAAATATGTCGCACATTTCCTTTTAATTTGATAAAAATCTTGTAAAATTAAAATTTTGATGCAGATTATTTCGCTAAGGCTCTGGTTCGAGAATGAGGTTGTAAATGCTAAATGCTTGTCTAGTTCATTAAATAAGAACGGTTAAATATGTGTAAAGCCGCTGCCCACTACTGTCGTTAACTATTCCAGAATGCATGAATTGGCTGTTTAAATCTCCTTTTTGTTCTCATGGCCATTAGAGGCTCCACAATCGTGCTTCCACTGGACGGCGTAGCCTTCGGGCAATGCCAGCAACCCTCCCCACAGCTTTCCTACGTTAACAAACAGTATTCTACCCCAGTTTTATATCTACTTTCGTATGCACAAAGGCTCTAGGGACTGCATTTGTGCCTTTACACATAATTGCCGACGCTTTAGAGCCAAATAAACAATTTGTGAAGGTGTGGGAAAAATCACGGCAATTTTGAGTTCCTCTGTTCTTTCAAATCACTCCATCACCGTACCTCGTTGTCACAAACAGGCCTAAATGATAGCAGTCATTTAATTTGGCCTCTTATCAATACTGTTTGTTTGAGGTGTGCAGTAGGTTGAATTTTTACACTTCTTCCTTTCAACTAGAACACCATGTGCCCTTTCGTTTTGTCAAAGCAGCATAGAAAATTTGCAAGCTACGTTAAGCTCAAACAGAAATAAAATCATGTTCAATTAAAACTTTAGAGATTTTTAAGGCATTGCCAATTTAGATCGCGTAATAAAAGAAATGCTGCTTAAATGTAGAGGTAATTTAAGCAAAATGATGTGTCGGCTGGTAGATTCTCCGTCAAAACAAAACACAAGTCAGTTCACATTTTAGGAAGATCTTGGAAGCAGTCAAACTGACTCCATTTACTTATGGAGACCTTCGCTAATGGAGTGAGAATATCAGAAGTGATTTTACAAAATATTTATAATAAGAGCTATTTTTAAGTATGATAAATAAACACGTACTTGACTGGCTTGTCCTTAGTTTTACGGAGATGTAAGATGGTTATAGCTGCGACCACTGCGAGG